AATTTAATAAATAATTAAAATTTTTTAATATTTTCTTTATTTTTCTTCAAAAAATTTTAATATTAATTAATTATTTAGTCAAAAATCTTTTAAATTAATATTAACACTAATAATCAAATAAATAATAATAATTTTATAGTATTTAAATTTATTTTCTACTTAAAAATTAAAATTAAAAGTATAATTAATTAAAATTTTAAATTTAAAAAAATTAATTAACTTTCGTAGGATCACTTTGAATTGACTCGACTCAACTCTGACCCAATTTAGTCGAGTTCAGGTAATTTTGACCTAAATTATATTTGATTCTAGATTGATAGCTTAGAAGTTTAAACCTATGAACTTACTTATATCGAATGGATTAGGTTAAATTTTTGGATTGGATCCAATTTTATCAAGTCTAATAAAATCATAGAACTGTGTTCTTGACACGATGACAATCATGATGGCAAGAAATTGCCACATTGGTGCTAACATGGCAATAGGTAATGAAATTTAACATGCACATAATATCGCCATTCATTTTAGGTTTTTTTCATTTAAGTTGAAAAGATGAGGGGCAAAAATTTTATATTATAAGTTGAGGGGTTGATACTCTCATAGTCAATATTGACAGATTAAGAATTGATACTCTCATAATCAGTAAGATAAAGGCTGGTCAAGGATTTTCGCCCGGGACAAAAAGGAAGGTGCAAAATGAGTATACAAAGTGATCAATAATTAAACCACAGCGGCATATTATAACACACAAAAGAAGTCATTTTTTTTATGGACATAAAAAAGAAGTCTTAGTGGAAAACCATACCATTAAAAGAAGAACCATGAAAATTACCATTCGCCAACTACAATTGGACACCTGACCTGAAATTCACGTCTCAAACATGTAAAGGTTGGGCCTCGGTTGTGGGCCATAGAAACGTGCAGTAGAGTTATGAAATTATCAGATTACTCATAACCTCCGTTTAATGGGAGGGAATGGGAGGGAAGGTGAGAGAAGAAGGGACGCTATCTTTCCATTTTCTTTTGTTTTTCTCCTTTGGTTGGCTTAATACTTCAAGAAGAGGGTGAATTGGAGTTTAAAATTTTTCCTCTTCTATCCACCAGCAAATGAAAAATGTGCAGTAGAGTCATAAAATTATCATATTACTCCTAACCTCTGTTTAATGTGAGGGAATGGGAGGAAAGGTGAGAGAAGAAGGGACACTATCTTTTCATTTTCTTTTGTTTTTCTTTTTTTGTTGGCTCAAATACTTCAAAAAGAGGATGAATTGGAGTTTAAAATTTTTCCTCTTTTATTTGCCACCAAATGAAAAACAATGAGAGAAAGGAAGAACAATTTGCACAATTGATTTCATAAAAGTTCAGTCCAATCACATGGTAATTAATTCTCTATCTTGATTTATTCACTGAGGATTTCTTCTTTACTTTCCACTACTGATCAATGGTAGCTTCAAGGTGCTATTTCAAACCTTTTACGAAGTGTCTTTCATTCAAACACATCATTTTACAAAAATGCCCAATTAACTTCACTTGGTTTCTTTTTTGAAGTCTTCACTCGATTTCTCTTTTGAAGATTTCACTCACCCTTAAATATCACTTCTTAGAGCTTCACTCATTTCTGATATCACAAAAAAATAAAAAGATAGAAAGAAAAATTACAAAGGATATAATCTCTTAAAAATCTAATTTGCAAATATAAACTCAAAACATACGAAAGGATTTGCAAATACAAACTCAAATCTTATTGTAATCTTTTAATAAGTGTCTAGAGCTCCCTTAAAATGTTTACTTATCATATTTATATACCCAAGATCGAAAATAGAGGTTTATCGCCATTGTATGCATTGCATATTTGTTGAAGTTCAAGAAAATAACGTTATAGATCTGACTGTTTAAGCTCGCTTAACCTCTCAAAGCCAGCTTACAAAGCCAAACTGGTTTTACTGCAACCTCTGCACCTTCTATTTCATTTCAAGCTGAGTGCAAAATTCTAAACTAGCTTAGCAAGCTCGGGTCGGAAAATGTCAACATCTTTAAATATTTTGACTGTTAGAGCATTAAATGTATCATCTAAGCCGGCTTCAAAACCTAATTTGACTAAACACTATGCCATTATCCCATGCGTCCCAAATTGCATTTTTGAAATTCTGAACATCAAAGTGACTTCCATGATCTAAGCTGATTTTCCTGTGCAAATCGCAACATTTCGAACTTTGCTCTTTCGTCTAGTTTGAGAATCGATATCATGCTCATCCAAACACCGTTTTGGGTGTTCTTATACTCATTGGAAAGTTTGAGATTTTTATTTTTATATGAACTAATTCTTAAACCAAAATTCTCACTGTAGACACGTACTCTTAAATGAATGAGGTGAAGGTCATTGTAGCAATGCATGGAAGTTTGATTTTATATGAAGTTTCTCTCTAAAATTCTTTGATTTGGTCCTACATACTTGCACGAAATTCATTAAACTTTTTTAATAATTTTGTTATCATTAAAATCATCATAAGAGTTCAACACTCCTCTCCTTAAACCAAAGAGCTATTACTAAGTTATGTCCAAGCGCATAAACAAGATTATATATAAAAGTAGTTTAAAACTGCATCTTTGCTAAATCCAGAGGCAAACAATAACTGCTCTGGATTTCCCATAAACCACAGAAATTGTAGTTGAACAAGAATTAGATCTATTGTCTAATCCAACGATTTAGGACGGTTAGAAAGAACAAGACACTTCATTCCTCTCAAACTGTCTAGAAGAATGATAAGATATTGCCTAGCTTGTGATACTGTAACCCAAGCAACTTTATGAAACTTGGTCTCCTTCAATAAATCATTGTTTACATGCTTCATGATGGTAGTCTTCCCAACTCCACCAATCCCATAAACTCCAATCATTCCAACATCATCACCCATCAAGTGCTCCCAAATTTTTTCTTTAGTAGAAATTTCATCCTCTAGATTCTCCGTTGGAAATATGATTCCAGAAACCGGAGCTCTATCAACTGAAAGGCCTTCAAAGAAGCTGCCCCTCTCTTGCATTCTCTTAACCACTTCAATTTTTTCACGAACAAGTTTACCAAGACAGGCACGTGCGAAGTATGAAACTCTGCACACCATTTCTTCAACAACTTGCATGTCATCGTTGATCTTTTGAGCATCTTGAAGCCAGCCCTGCACTTCTTCCTTCACAAATTGACCCCAATGAACCTCTGCTTGTATTCTTGAATTGACATCAATTTTTCGCCTCTTTAGAACCTGAAACTCGCTTCTCAAATCACTCATATCTTCTTCAAGTTTTCTATGGCAGTCTACATAACTGAATACTGAATTCCGCACATACTTTTCCATTTCAATGATTGCCTCCATTGATGAAGTTCCTAATGTGAGACAGCAATGTCTTAAAGTTAAATTTAATCCCAAAAAGAAAAGAATGCAGGAAACAATTTAATTAACTGAAAGCGGATATATAGTGTCACTTTCATTATGTTGTGTCTATGAAATTTAATTTTTTAGGAATTCACACAAGAAGGAAACGAAACCAGCAAACTAATTGAAGAACTCTAATACAAAGAAGTTCAAAAACAAGAAACCACAGGATTATATGTTTACTAACGATAAGTAATCAATTGAAAGCAAGAAACGACCGTAACAAAATTGTACACCAATAGAAGAAATCTAAAATTGAAGATCTAGATGGATAGCATACCTACAGCAGGTTTAGCAGAAGGAATTGAAGAACGTTGGACACGGATAACCAAATTAGGCCAAAGTAACTAGACGACGCAGCAGATCTACAAAATCGCAACTGCAAGCCTAATTCTTACCGTTCGGAGAGGTTGGTGGAAATTTCCTGGAAGAAAAGCATATGATTCAAATATGATCACTCGAGACATGTCTATGTTTACTTTGAGTACCAAAAAAAAAAAAGAGAGAATTTACAAGGTTAATCAAGTAGCTTAGCTTCTAATTACAGGTAAACAAAAACAATTTAAAAACAAGGAATCTAATGAGAAATAAGCTTCTTTGCAAATAAGGTCATGCGATCCACAACAAACCCGCGACATTTTCATTTTATATATATACTCTAAATACAGCATAACAAAATCAAGATCGAAGAACTACATAAATGGTGTACCTGCAGGATTAGCATAAGAAATTAAAGGATAATTGCAACTGTGAAGCCTAATTTCTTTATGATAAGAACAGTTGAGGCGGCTAAGGGGAAGACAAAGCATAAAGTAAACAAGTCAATGAGAGAGTCAAGAGGATATTTCTTAGAATATGCACAGCAATTACCCGAGTAATGAATATGCAGATGGTCAAAGATGTGTACGACATTCACACGGATTACTGAAGCATAATTTAGCTGTGAAATTAGTTGTTATGTTGCTATTACAGTCCAGATGGCAACATACTTCCTCGATCTGAAAATAAATGTTCCTTTTAGATTTTTCTTAAAATTAAAGATTTAGAAGCAATTAATATATTTTGATATCACAATATTATAATTATAATGTCATATAAATTATAAATTTATAATAATATTAAATGAATATAAAATAATATTAAATGAATTAATACATATATTATCACAATTGACTCTAAATAAAAAACGATAACCATAAGACAACACATCATGTTCAACTTATTACATAAATATAACATTTTCTTAAAAATATAAAAAGAAACTTTATAATAAAATAATTATTTAAAATAAATAAATAATAATAGAATTAAAATAAAATTCTAC